TTTCTTGAGTTTTCGGTTCTACAGTCCTTAATTTACTCATTCCATGTAGGGTCCCTATCGTCCTCCTGAGAACAAATTCACTGGTAACTGCGCAATCGGCTCATCTTCTCAGATGCCCAGAACAATCCCAACATGCTCAAAGCTCAAGTCCAAACGTGAGCCCCATTGCTTTCGCCACCACCACCTCCACCCCATCCCCATCACTAGATGACGATTCCCCAATAGCGATTCATCCGCCGCCGTTCAACAGGGTGAGTGATGCTGTTGTTGTAGTAGCTTAATCACCTGAAACGGAATCTAAGTCGTCGCTGCTGAAATCTCTCATGGACTGTGCCTGACTGGCCGACTCTACACCCGAACGAGCCGTCAAACCACTTATTCAACTCCGAGAATTACTGTCCAAACGTAGCRATCCAGGGGAAAGAGTTGTCTTTTATTTCACTGAAGTCGGGTTTCTTCAAAAATTGGGAGAACAGCACCAACGTTTGAGACCTCGTCGGAGGATTTCACACTCCCAATTTTTTGCCTTCACCTCCACCGCCCAACTTTCCTTTACTAGTGCAGCTGCAACTTTTTGAATCTTTTCTTTTATGAGCAAACCGACTATTGCRATTCCGGCGGCATATGACACCAAGTGATGTTGGGATCTCGCCAGAGAAATGATTGAGCCGATTGGAAGTAGAAACAAAGGGACCACCGCTGCAGAGAGAGAACTCGTGTTGTGCCATGCATCGCAGCTAGAAGGGTAAAATAGGTATTTTGAAAAAAAATATCATCAGTTTAACGTTTTTCGTCTTGACCATTGATGGAAGAGAAGTTTTTATCAATTTTTTTTTAAATAAAAGGAAGGTTTTTGCTAAAGTTAAACTATAGGGGAGGTTTTCATGATTGTTAGAAACTTCAGGGGAGGTTTTTGTATTTTACCCATTTAATTAATATATATAATATTACATATTATAACCTATAATATATTATTATTGTAAAATATATTATGACATTGAATTTCATTATAATACATTAAATATAATATATTATAATATAAATATATAGCATATTATATATTAAATGTTATATATTGTATATTATATATTACATATTATGTAATGAATTTCAGTTAATTCGGTTATTTCGGTTAACCAAATTTCTAATTCTGAAAACCAAAAACGAAAACCAAAATTCTTAAAAACCAGATTAACCAAACCGAAAAAACCAAAACCAAAATTTTCGGTTTGGTATTTCGGTTTTAACCAAATAAAGGAAGACCCTGTCCATTCTAGTTTTTCCACTCACCCATCTCAGCACTGCATTTCTTCCACACTCATTGTTTGGAAATGTTTGTTTTTTGCTTCCCAACTCTTCATTCTATACAACATTGATGACCTTATGACTGTTTTATGAAAATCTCCTTTCTAGGGGTGAGCATTCGGTTCTATCACATAAGATTCCGGATGTACCCCTTTATTTTGCCCATATTGAGCAGCATTCTCCTTAATCTCTCCCCTGTTATGAATTATTGAACCAAAGTACAGGAGAGGTTACAATGAATTATCTCTCAGCCTCTAATCATAAGTGTACCCTGATTTGCACTTCCATTATTATTAAGCTTACATTGTATATATCCTGCTGTAATCCTACTTATTTTGAAACCTTCTGGTAACTTACTAAACGACCAACGCCAATCCCCACACAAGGCAACATTAAGTTCTTCAAACTTCTAATCCCCAGCCTGCCTGCTTTAATGGATCCTATAGACCT